ACAAGATCTAAAGACAATGGAGAGTAAGGACGTCACCGATCTGGGTGGCATTACGAAGCGCATGAATGACCTGAACTATTGCGCCAAGGACTTGTTAGAGTTGGAGCGCTACCTAGTGGACTTGCGGCAAATGGTGGCTGCTTCGCTGCAGGAAGGCGATGATCAGGGTGAGCGCGTGCTGGTGCAGTTGGAGAGTTTCGAAGATCGCTTGGACGCGCTAAAACAGATAGTTGAAGTACAGACTGATCGTATCGAAGCTAAGGGTTTCAAGTTCGGGCGCGATCGTGCGTCATATGACGATAGTCGCGTGGTGCGCCCAGATGGCTGGGTAGACTTTCAGATGCTCATAAAATTTGGTGAGGAAAGGGATGAGATGAACGAGGAGAATACGAAAGCCGGACAAGAGGATGAAGAACCGCAAACGACCGCCTACCAAGAAGCGTCACCGGAGGGCAATAAGAAGCGTAAGCTGCGCAGCTCCGATAATTTTTATTTGCTCACCGGGCGCATAATGGAGACATTTAACTTCCTCGACGACTGCGAAGATCGCCTGCAGAGCGTGCATCGTCAGAGCTTGCGCAACCAAAGCGAAATGCTAATAACGCTGGAGAAAGAGGTCGCAAAGCGCGTGCCACTAACCAGCGAGCTGAAGCAGCTATTTGAGGTGTGCGAACAGGAAGATCTGAAGCGGAATTTAATTATGGAGGCCACGCAGATAAAACAGATTGACGAGCGCTTTACGGAGCTCATCAAACGCATCGTCGAGCAGAAATCCGAGACAGCACAAATAATAGCCAAGGAGAAGTTCTACAACAGCTTGACTGGCTTCAAGTTAGTGCTTGCTGATTCACGAGACTGGTACAAGCAGCACTCGCTGTCAGCGAGCAAGTCCGACTTAGAGCAACGCTTGAGTCACATGGAATCGCTGTCAAGCGAAATAGCCGACGCAAAGGAGATTACCGCCACGCTGAGTGATGACTTGCATGAATGGAAGCAGGATTTCAACATATTTTACGACAGTTGGAGCGACATGAAGCGCGCAATCATCACACTCATACAAGAGAAGGGTGGACTGGACGAAGTCAATGAGCGCCTGCAACGTTTGGAGGACTTCATAGCGAAGGTGGCGGGTGTAAAAGTGGTCGTCACTGACTTGACGCCCATGCAGCAGCAACAGAAGCAATTGAACGCGCTTGTCGATGAATTGGAAAAGTTGAAAGCGGACTACCAGTATGTCTGCCAACGCCGCCCCGATGCAATGGGCACCGAGTTCGAGGAGAACTGGGCGAAAATACCGGAACAGCTGAACGAGCGCGTAATAAAGCAAACGACGGCGATTGAGAATCTCAACCATTTCAATGCCGAGTATAATGCCATATTGAATGTGCTGCGCAAGCTGGAGGCGAAGTTCAAGCGGGACGATGCTGAAAACACAGAGCAGCCGCTGAATGGGCAAGCGACAGTAGGCGATAGCAATCGGTTGAATATGGAACTGCGTAAGATCGAAATTGATGTGATAAGCGCACGCAACTTCAGCGAGATACTCATCAAGGACGCAGAGTCGGCGCATCGTGAGCACTTGCTCGCGCAAATTAAGGAACTGAATGAGTTCTTTACAAAGGTGCAAGAGCTGCATAAAGGACAGGCGCTGAAACGCACGCAAGTGCTGGACAAAGCCGAAGAAGTGTTCAAAAGTCTGGCTAAGACGGAAGTGTGGCTAAACGAACTCGAGCAAAATACGCCGAAGACGAAGATCTCTGAGATTAACAATTCAAATGAACTCTTCCAAATCAAAAGTAAGTTCCAAACACTCAAGGAAACCTGCGAACGTGAGTCGGTGAGTTTCCGCGAGTTGAACGAAGTTGGCGGCGAGCTGCTGCTGCAAATGGACGAATTGAAAACAACGGGCGAAGAAGTGGACAGCAAATATGCGCAGCTGCCGAAGAAGTTTACGCGGTTGAGCGCGCGCTGGACGGAGGTCACTTCGCTGGTGTATGCGAAAACAGCGCTACTCGAGCATATCTCCACGCAGCTGGGTGAGTTCAAGAAGTTTATGGTCTCCGAATCGGGTTATCTGGATCGACTGGAGAATAAGATTGGCAGCACGCCGGAGAACGCGGACGCTGAGGAGATCATTGAGGAATTGGATGTAAGTATTTTGTTGAGTCAATTAAAAAGTGTGTAACTCTGCTAATTAACTAAATTTACAGGATCTCGAAAACGTGCTGCGTGCGCACTCCGACGAGTGGGTGGAGAAAATTCAAGAAATTGGCAACGAGCTAATTGAAAATGAATTTATGGCGGATTCGATACGCGCCGAAATCGATGGTATTGTGGAACGTTGGACTAAGCTGCAACAGCGTGCCAAACAACGCACCGAAATACTGGAGAAGGAGGTGAGCGAGGCTGAACAATCCGAGAAATGCATGGTGCAATTCGAAGCGTGGCTGACGCGCGTCGATGAGATACTCACCGAACATCTGGAGAATGATGTGACCATTGAGGATCTGCCGGATGATTTTCAGGTAGTTTTTGTAGGGGTAGGGATAGAGAGAAATTTATACAGGTTCTAATATGTAATCTTTTATTTTTACAGCGCTTAGTAAAAGAATTCGAATCGAACAAGCAGTGCTTCCAAGAAATTGACGAACTCATTGCTGAACACACACGCAATGGCAAAATTGAGGCAGCCAATCGTTTACAGGAGAAGCTGAACCTAATGGAGTTGCGCTTCAAGTCGTGTCAACTGAAGCTGAATAAGTGTACAGCTCCGCAACCGGCGTACGAGTCACGCTTGAATCGCGCTGTGGCTGAGTTGCGTGCTGTCGAACATTCCACATTGGTTTTGGACGTAGCTTCGGCTGGGCCCAGCACCGTACAGGCGCAGTATCAGAAATGTGTGGTAAGTTTGTTTGAGCGATTATAGTATTTAATAGATGGTGTGCGAAATCGTTGATGCTTATTTCATATTACATCTCTAACAAGGGCGGAAGTCTCCATATCCTTTGGTAGAACTTTGGCATTTACTGCAATGGTAGAAAATACCGTTTGTGATCTCTCGTCCCCGTATATGAATTTTTCACATAAAGCCCAAAATGCAATACCGCAGTGGCATTGGCAGCGGCAGTCTTTCGAAATAAGCTGATTTTTTAGAAAGTGTGCAGTCTAACGAAGCGACATAAAATACAGCTGTGCCAGGATTTGTCCTGGTTTTGACAAATGGTCCTGTGCTTAAATTAAATCTTCCCTTTAACATAAATTCGTCAGTATAGATATTCATCTGACAGCGCCTTCTCTACTAAAATCCTTTACTTTCACAATTGAAGGAAAAGGGTAGACAAGACTAGGTACGTCCACTGGGTTCCAACCGTTCCACAGTTGTTCTGAGTCAGAGAGTAGTTAGTTGTATTAGAACAAGGGTGACTAAGACTTGCAAGATCTTTTGCATATAAATTAAAAAAGACCCTGGTAACAGAATTCATTCTATTCATTCATTCATTCATAAACGGTTCGACTATAGATACATCAAAATGTATTGTTCTTTGTGTGATCGAGATCGCCATCTGGAGTTTGAATGTATATTTATTTTTTTGAATTTCAAGTTCGCATAAATAAATATCTCTTTTAACGTATTTCATCTTCATTCACCAGCAAATCTATCGCACACTATCCGAAATTAAACCAGAGATCGAGAGCACTATCAAAACGGGTCGCAAAGTTTGCGAAGATAAATTTACGCGCTCGCCCAAACAACTTAGTCAACGCATCGACGCACTTAAACATCTCTACAATGCGCTTGGCGAGAATGTCACACAATCGAAAGTGTTCCTCGAGACGCTACTCAAATTGGCACACCAGCTGGATGAATACTTCGATCTTGCTGATCAGCTTATAAGGCGCTTCGAATCGCTACAAGAGAAGCAAGATCGCAATTCTTGTTTCTTGGAATACGAAGATCTGCTGCAACGTTGTGAGGAATTATATGAGGAATATAGCAAATCCTGTGATCAATCATGCATGGAGGATACGCGACAGAAGATTGATGAACTCAAGACGATCTACATGAAATTGACTAGCGCCGATGTTATTAAACGCTTAACAGAAATGAAGTCAACTTTGCAGAATTTGGATAACATATCGGCAGAGACATTGAAGTTAGTTTTGGGTGCACATTTTTTTTTGCGAATATTTTAAGCCTAAAATTTAATTTTATTTTTTTTTCTCGTTTTTTGCGCATAGAGCCATGGAACATGAGCTGAAACAGATAAATACGCCTTCAAATCCGGATATAGAGAAGCTGCAGCAACAAGTAATCGCCATTGTGGTGGTAAGTAATTAATAATACTTACTTGTAATTACAAATGCTCGCAAATAACCAATCACGCTTTTCTATTTATATTTCCTCACACATACACTCGCACTCACTTACTCTCTCTTAGATTACAGCCATTATTATAAGTAGCTTCTATATATATGTATGTATGTAGGTATATTTGCCTTTAATCTAGATTTTGCTCATCCTTTCGCGAATTCTATGCTTTCTGTGTACATATATTTGTATCTCTGTCCCTGTAATTGCGTTCATAGCGTGCGTGCTTTCGTTCATTTTATTTGTACTTTTCCACTTCATTTCATTGGAAATTACAGAGCAATTCACTTATTCATTAGATGTCTTTTCTTTATTTATTTATTTTCTCACAGTCACTTCCGCTTTTCTAGTGCTTAATTTGATGTATTTTGCTGCTATTAATATATACTCGTAGTGTTTGTAGCTTTCTTTTTCGATTTAAAGTCATTCCTGTTTGTTGCCTCAGTGTGTATTTTTTCACATATTTCGTTTAACTTTTTACAGCTACAAGTATGCCCAGTAGGGTGGTTCAAAAAAATGTTTAAACTGTTAAGCTCTCACCTCTAAGAATTTTTATAAACGGAAAAAGGATACCCGTGTTTTTATGTTAAAAAAATGATTTTAGAATTGCCTAAAAACTCATGAACCCATGTATTTTATATGGAAAAACACTATTTTCCAACGGAAAACTCTGTTTCTCTTCAGCAGACTTCCAAAAGTAATACCCAATTGTTTATATCATTATTTTTAAAGACCAACTGTTTTTATGGATTCCCCATTACATTTTTTTGGGTGATCTGTTAACATTAAAAATGGTTAAATAAACAATTAAGTATTGTTATTGAAAGACTCCTGAGTCTTCGACCGAAAAATATTAATTTTCAAGAATTCTATACCGATTCTACGAAAATGCGTTTTTCACCATATAAAATACATGGAAAACTCTATGGTCTTTGAAGCAGTTCTAAATATAATTTTCTTAAATAAAAATACAGGTATTATTTTTTTCATTTAGAAAAATTCTAGGGGGTGGGAGCTTTGCATTTTAAACTTATTTCCTCGCATGCATTTTTGTACCAACCTAATGCCCAGCCAAACGCTTTCATTTATCTTTCTATCATCGTATAACAAGTAATTCAATTGTGATTAAATTGTAATTTAATTGGCAAACAAATTTAGAATCTATCTTTTGCTATTAAGACTTTCAAACTCTTACTAAAGAAATCAACAAAGCTATCAAAGCGATAATTTCCCATAACCCCAATTCTGAGCTGTGTATGATTACTGCAGAATCTGCTGTGATTCCGAGTAAACTTGGTTCCAGCGGACATTTGCCACGGCGGTCTTCAAACGAAACGGTTAACCTGATTAATATCGAAAAAGCCTTGTCTTTTAAGCAACTAAAACTTAGTATTGCCCTAGATAACTGTTCTAGCCTGCACTCAAATCGGAGTACAATTCTTGCAGTTCTAGGTGAAGCTCATATGACCAAGTATACGGCAAAAGACACTCCACAAGAGAAAATACGCTCCCCACTCCTTTAGAATGGAACTGTGAGCACTATTTCTCTGCTTATAGTTCTGGGTACTCTCATCTTTACGAGGAAAACTAGAAACCTCTCATATCAACTTCCAACACTAAACTGTGTAGCACTGTTGCCTGCTTCCAAAAGAAATCACACACTTGGGCCAACGCAACGTTTAAGTAAGGAGCCGGAGAAGCCGTAGCTGCGCTCTAAACCGGCAAAATGGACATAGGCAAGAAGTGAGGTCTTAAACCTAATAGAAAGCACTGATTGTAGTCAGCAGTCATATATTCTATCTTATTCTTTGATGCCACTGGATAAGCCGCTCACTTAATTTAAACTCACAAAGGTTCAAATAACCGCAGGCATTTCTATCGCCGGAGCGCTAACGTCCATGTTTACCAAAGCCTTAGAAACCATAGTTTAACTTCCTTAGCGCTTACTTTTTGTATCCATGGGGTAACGCATTACAATACAAAAATGTTCACTTTCTTTTTAAACTTTCTCGCTTACCTCCAATGACATGCCCAGGTTAAAGAACGCGTTGTTCTGTAAACTAGAGGGTATTGGTAAGCACTTTTCGGAATTCACCACATACCCTCTAGTTTACAGAACACATTACCTTAACCTAGGCATGCCATTGGAGGTAAGCGAGAAATTTAAAAAACGAGAAGTGAATATTGTGTCTTGAGGCGTATTGTAACGCGTTACTCCATCGATACAAAAAGTAAGCGCTTACCAAAAACAAAAAAGTTTTTGCTGGGAAACTGAGGATGTTGAAGTTGATTTCGGATAAGTAGTGTATCCACAAAGTGGTTGGCTATGAATAACATGGGTTCCACGACGAACATCTAGTATTTTTATCTGCTGAGTATGTGTTGCAAACTGACTCTCTATGAATGCCATCTTCAACATATCTGCAGTCCCTCCGGCTCAGCGAATGTCGTGTTACTATATTGGTCATTAAAATCGATCTGATCTCCAGGTCAGGACGCCTTCGACAAAGACCCGCCCTAACTTTGATGCTACGATTTTTTGGCGGCTCGATAGGGGTCATGCGACATCCCATGGTAATCTTAAGTGCGGTGTTCTGGCAGGTTTTTAGATGCGCCCCATGCTTTTCCTGCAGCATAACCAATATGTCTTAGTCCAGCTAAACTCTTTTCGTTCAACTCCCATTGGTATTTTATCGAAAAACTAAAATTCCGTGTTATTAAGAAGCTCTAAAGCACAAGCCATCGTTTTCAATACTCGGCGCCGAAATTCATGAAATTATAAGATCAGGGAATGTTTTCTGGTAGAGATAGAGATACATAAAAGCTAAGACTATTAAGAGAAGATACGACACTGAAAGATCCCTGTTTTAATGTCTCTTCATTTTAAGACTTCATATCGAAACGAAGACAAGTGCTAATTCGAAACCACAACTGAAGCGCATGTGGAAAAAAATATATTTTAATGCCTTCAGGAGGTACTGCGTAAAAGTCCGTAACGAAAATGTACGTCAGGTTTTGTGTTTCTTAATCCGTGGACATCACATGGGCTATTTGGGATAATATCTCGATTTATCAGCTTGCTAAGTTCCAAAGTGGTTCTTCCTATACACTTTGTGGAAGCCCTTATGATCGTAAATATTCAAGTTCCTACCCTCCTCATTATCAGGAGAAAGAATGATAACAGATGGTTTGACGCGGCTGACTATGTTTGCTGCTTTCCCCTTTTGGACCTAGTCGAGCGTTAGTATTTGACAATTGGTTCACCATCTGGCGAGCTATCATTTCACCTTGTGGGACTTGGCGACTTTGTTCTTTTCTTAACTATGTATATGTAAATCTAAAAAGCTTTAAAGCTGTAGTTTAAAATTTTCTCATGTCAACCACTAACTAAAAAATAATATGAATGAATTTAGGTCATTTCATGCATCCAATAAAAAATCAACACTATCCACGTACATAAGTACTTGTATGTATAGGTAGTCATAAAATACTCATCTGCCTAAAACATATTTTTTATAATTTTATATTTATTTATACTCACGTTTGTATATATGTACATATGTATGCCTCTAGTTCACACAGCAAATCCCATTAAACACCCGCAACGTTTAATTAAAATACACTAATTCATTCCATGGCAAATTAACTTTTCAAATCATGCCTAATAAAAAAATATTATAATAATAATAAAACCACCTTCATCCTCAAAGCCAATCACCGTATCACCATCTAGCTGAAATGGAAACATTTGTTGGTGTCATCTTAGTGTACTATAATAAGTTTAATGATTCTCTGTATATTCACTTTTAATATGAAAGTACTGAACTTAATGTAGATTTTATTGTGGGATGGGTGCCAATTGAATCATAATTGTTCATAGCTTTCGGCCGTGGAAAATTAATGACGCATAAAAATCTTAATGTAATTGTCCCATGCAAAATCCTTTAACAAAATAATTATTTTAAGCATTCATTAACTGGTAATAATAAAAAACCAGATTAATATATAAAAAAAGTTCATCGCATATGTATGTATGTATGAATATCGTATCGATATTCTTAATAATATGTAACTCGGGGTCTAAAACGTCAATTATTTGTTTTGAAACCATGCAAATCATACTAAATTAATTTTAAAGCTACACCTTGTGCTCTAAAGTAAATTTCGGTCTAAAAACAAAAGTCTCCACACTTTGGAGACTTTTTTGGAGAGTTTCGATTTTGACTTGATTTTACAAAACCACATTATTATTCGTCACAGGACGCTATAAAAACGCGTTTTAATGAAAATTCCGAGTTGACAAAGCTCCTTGCGACACCAACTTTGACTAAAACTGCACCAACACCGCAAACTGTTGAAAACGGCGATACCGATGTAGAAATAGTTGTTGTTAGCGATACTGTGCGTCAAAGACGTGCACGCACACCAGGTGGAAATGACTCACAGAACGTTGGCGACACACCAACAAAGCCCGATAAATCCCAGACAAGTCAGACACCAGTGGAAGTGCAGCAACCAAATGATTCGCCTTCAACCACAGCCGATCAAGCCATTGTCACTCAAGTGCTACCCGATGTTCTGCCTCCACAAACCTTCCGTCTAGCTGAATCTAGCACTCTATTTTCGCACATATCAACCTCAACACCAATTGAAACTACAGAGAGCGTACCCGCAAAACCGCCTAAACGCAGAAGTCGCAAGGGCGAACAGCACGCCAGGGTGGTGGAGATACGCGAGCGTAATTTGCCACATGATAAAATGTCTGTGCAAAATATTGATTTTGAGCCGCAAGTTGGTGAGATTGTCGACACGGTGAATATTTTGGAGAGTGTGGAACCATTCGTGCCGGAATACGTGGAAACGGTGCAAATTGTCGATCTCTCTGAAGATTCGGACTCATCGATGCGCATTGATGCCGATGGCAAAGAGGTGCAGCGTAGCAAAAGTAAACGCTCGCTCTGCGAATCGCCTATACCGCAACCACCACACTCACCGCTATCACCAGATGACGTGGAGTTGCGTAATACACAGCCACTCAATGCAAGCACACCTTTCTTGCGGGTGGAGAAGCAGCGTATTTCATTCGATGAGAAACGTAAGCGTATCGAAAGTGAGCGTGATATACTACGTGACTCAGAGGAGGATGAAGATGAGCTACCGGCGAAAGGAGATGAAGCTTCAAGTGCAACGCATACGCCACCGAAACAACCAAAGCGTTGGCGTCAACTTACACTCACACTGGACGACGGGCTGTCACCTAAAAAAGCCAAGTCTCGTGATGGAACAGAGCAGCCATGTGCAGTGGAGTCTCCAGTACGCGACAGTTTTTATGGTGCCGATAAAGATGCAAGTTACGACTTGGAACCATTGGTATTCTCCGATGATGAAGACATACCGAGATTCTCATTAGAAATGACACCAACATTTGATTCCGATAGTGATACGGTAAAGATATACTGACATTTTAAACATGCAAATAAAAGGCTTATTACGATTGGCTTTCAGGATTAGTTTTTTAGGTGTAGTTTTAATTGAGAATGTAGATAAGTAATTATCTGCTGAACAAGCTAACTGAATTCCATTTACTGTCATATAGAGTCGCATTGAGACGCCCGGCACTAAAAAACCCAACTTCTTAGATAGCAAAGTCCTCCCCTCAGCTACGTCAATGGATGATTCGAACATTACCTTAAAGAGTCCTTACTCAGAGAGTCCTTTGAGCTTCCGCGATAGTGCACCGCTAGATCAACGCGTCCAAACGTTCGATAAAATGGCTAAGTACATGATACGAAAGATGGAGGCGACGAAGGAGAAGATTCAAAAGTGCGATGAGGGCGAAAGGTAAGCGATTTCATGTTTTTTTAAAATATAATATATTTTCAATTACTCCACTCCGCAGCGCCATTGAGGACTTGAAACTCTTGATTGCGCCCGATGCCGCCACCTTGATTTCTCAAGGCGATTCTTTGGTGCTAGAGACTCACGGCAAACAGGGAAATCTATCCCGTTTAGTTATGAAAACACAGATCATATTACGAGAGAAATTCCGTGAGGTGCAGCAAGCCAAGTAAGTATTGAATTTGCTGGTCCCAGGTTGGTCTTAGAAATATCCAAGAAAATTACTGATTGAGCAAGCTGATTAAATTTTCATAATAAAAAGGATTAAGTTGTTATATTATTGCCTTGAAAATAGTGTTCGAATTTGAGTTAGCTGATTATTTTCGTAAATTTTTGCAAAAATTTCAAAAATCAAATTTCCAACTGCTACCGTTAAAATGTGAGAATAAACAGAGTCAAAAAAGAGAAGGTGGTTGAACGGGGCAAGTAGATTAAGTCTCAATTCTCGAAAACTCCTTGGAATTGAAAAAGCAGTGGGATCCAAGTTGTTGAGATCTAAAGCTCGTGAACCTAAGCCGGTTGAGTACCAGAAGTTGGGATGATGCCACCCCGTTTTCCTTTCTACAGTAGCTGCAGAGGAGCTTCGTGGTGATAGTGAATCATCCCACATGAATTTCCATCGGACAATGGTAGATTAGAACAGAAGAACCCTCTACCCTGCAATCCAAGTTTTCGCCGAGCGTTCGTCCATGTGTACAGAAGCAAATTAGAGCCAACTATAGCCAAATAAAAATAGCAGGAAAATAAGATTTTTAAATTTTTCGGAAACATTTCAGATAACTAAAGTCACTTGTAAACTCAATAATTCAATCTTTGTGTTTTTAGAAATGTCATTTAATTAAATTTCTGTCTTCAGATCCAAAGTACCTGGCGTGCCGCAACACACCGATGACAACAATACGCCCAGTCCACGTTCTACACTTGAAAAGCTTAACATCGATCTAGAAGAACTCGTCACGAAAGGTCTCAAACGCATAAACGATCTAATTGAGAAGCCATACGATAAGAAATCTATTGAGGCCCTAGAGCGCCGCCTTGAGGAAATTAGCGTAAGTACTCTATTAATTTGTTTGCTAAACAGTGGCATTCAAACTGTAGCAGCGAAAGTGCTTATTTATTACAAAAGTCTATTTGGCGTCTTTATACGCCAATTGTAAGCACTTTGAATTGCTTTACTATGCACATTAGGGTGGTACGAAAAGTCATGCGATAAAAAGTTGTGGGAATTTTAATGATCTCATCTTCTGGGATTGCTTTATATCGGAAAGAACATACCCACGATCCAGAAAATAAAGGTCGCGCCATTCGCGGACCGCTAACCCTCTCTTCTCGATTTGACAGCATCCACCCAATCGCTGGCGTCATAATATACTTTTGTTTACATTCACTGTTGCCAACTTGATGCTTTTCGCACCAAATTTAGTGGGTATTCAAAACGCGAAAATTTTTGAGTTTTGTGTTTGGTGCGTATTTGGTGCTTTTGTTTTTAGTTTGAAGACTTCAAATTAGAAAATCTTAAAAAAATGGAAGCAAAATGTATAGCAATGGTAAGGGTGCTAAGCAATTTTACAAAAATTTAAACAAAATCATGGCACAGTGACAATCATAAGCGACAACGAAATATGTGCAGCACCTTCAATCATGACAGAAGAAATCGACCGTTGTGCAAGAAACATTGATTTTTATTAATTTGAATCGGCATCCTTACAATAAAATTATGTATTCATATAAAGTCCATAAAATAAACCAATAAAAATTGGGTGCTTTTTCAAATTCAAAACTTGGCAATACTGCTTTTTGTTCGATGCTTCTTCTTTTTCTTGTCGAGTTCGTCTTGCTCTCTCATTCTGGTATATTTTGACGTCACGGCCAGTTGCTCTCAGCTCTATTGGCGCAATCTTGTATTCTATCACAACATACCCTTGTTTTTTGTTTTTTAATTTAAAATAAAAAAAAAAATTTGCAGGCGGCTCAAAGCACTCAAAGTTTTCCATGCATTTTTATGGGAAAAAAAGTTTTTCGTAGAAATGGTACAGTTGAAAATCAATATTTTTAGATCGGAAAAGTCGGTACCTCTTCAGGATACTTCAAGGAATAATACTTAATTGTTTATTAACCCATTTTTTGATATTAACGATTTTTTATGGGACCCCCCATTGCATTTTTGAAGTTTTTGGGGGGATTAATATTTAAAAATAAAAAAATAAAGAATTGGGTATTATTGTTTGATTCTTTACCATTTCTAAGAAAAATGTGTTTCCCTATGTATTTTGAAGAATATATTTTGATATCAGGGGGTATACTTTTTCGATATAGAATAATCCTCAGGGGGGTGAAAGTTTTAAATTCTGACTTTATCGACTTTATTTTGTTGGGATCACCCTAATATATGTATGTATGTATAAATAAAGCCAGTTCATGCACGAGTGTATGCAATCGATATGTGGGTGCAGTATGTAGCGTTCGTCTTGTGCCACATGCAGCGTAATGCTTCGCAATTCCGCATTCCAGATCCCGTTGTACATATGTATACTCCATAACTTGAAAATGCAAACACTAAGCGTTGGGAGTTCGTTTGCAAGGGCAAAGGGGCGTCAAGAGGAGAATTCGTGTAAGGCGAGAAGTTTTTAAATTGCCTTTTTCGACCATCCGCCACTTGTTTATTTATGGAAATCTTGTAAATACACATTCACACAAACATTTGCAAGCGTGCGGCGTGTACGTAAATAAACAGACGTGCCTGCATTATATACAAAAGCTGCATGCAGCCGCTTGGGGGCTTGTTCTGTATCAAGTAGCGTCGACAAATAAATTATAACAGATGATTTTCAGCACGCGTTTTGCATTAGCATATTTGTTGTACAAAATTGTTATTGTAAAATTTATGGCTGACCGACTGACTACAAACCTAACCAGCCTGCCGTGTTTACGGGCTCTCATAATTAACCGTTACACTTAAATTTCTTATTTTTTTTTTTTTAACCGCATCAAGTGCATTGGATTTATTTCTTGGGGAACTGCATAAGTATGTATGTATTTAAGAAGGATAAATAGATAAGATAGATAGGTGAATAAATAAATGGTGTACCGATTCGCCTACCACCAAAGAGGAGCATTTATGTATATATGTATATTAGGGTGGCCCCCTACGATTGTTCTATATCGAAAAAAATTATACCTCTGCTTTTTTATACCCGAACGCACTTGTGCACAAGGGAATTATAACTTTTTCACACAACAGTTGTTTGTAACAGGCAAAACGAATCGAGTTAGACAAATGTACACATAAATAAATGATCAGAATGAAAAAAGAAATCGATTAAGCGCTGACTGTCTGTCCGTCCGTCCGTCCGTCTGTGCACACGATAACTCGAGTAAAAATTGAGATATTTTAACAAAAATTGGTATGTGCACTTCTTTTCAGCGTAGGACGGATGGTATTGAAAATGGGCGAAATTGGACAATAACCACGGCTACCTCCCATTTAACGGTAATTTTCAGAAATACGAAAACGGCGATGTTTTAGTATCTACTGAAGTGTATTCACTCAAAATTGGTATTTAAAATCACTTTTAGACGAAAAATAGGAATACAAATTTTTGGAAAATGAGCATAGCCACGCCCACTTATGATTTTATGTGTATATCTTGGTAACCGCTCCACCAATTTCTCCCAAACTTGGCACAGTTGTTGACCTTGGTACAATGTAACAAATGAGTGCAAACTTTTTAAATCGGACGATAACCACGCCCACATCCCATATAACGGTAATTTAGGGAATAACGAAATCTTCGATAAGTCAGTAAATACGGAAGCTAATGTACTCAAAATGGATGTTTCTAATAATTCTTAAGTAAAAAATACGTTTATGGTAAGCTTTGGGAAAATTGTAGTGGCACCACCGCCCTCTTATGATCACACGTGTGTATCTCGGTAACCGTTCGTTCAATTTGTACCAAACTCGATACGATTATTTTGCTTGTGACATAAAAGCAAAATGTTGAAAATTATATTATTGAGATCGGACTAAATTTACGCCCACTTTTCATAAAACGATAAATTTCAGAAATGCTTTAAACTTCGATATTTCTAAATTTAAGGACGCTAGTTTACTCAAAATTGATACTTGAAAAGAAATAACATTATTATGGAATTTTGGAAAATAAGCATGATACCGCCCACTTATATATATAAGTTTATAGAAGATATTTGAAATCGGGGTAAAACCACCTCTGCTTACCATGTAGCGGTAGTTTTCGGAAAGGTGAAAAAAAACTGTATTTAATACTTGCGCCGGGTATCTGCCCGAACTGAGACTTTTTTACTTGTTATTTCGAAAATTTTTAGAGGCCGCTCAAACGCATAAAAGGAAGGTATTTCATGTAGCGAAAAAAATCGTGAAAAGCAATATTTTTCCATCGGAAAAGGCTATTTTTCTTCAGGAAATTTCTGGCAATAATACTCAGTTGTGTATTTAACCGTTTTTAATATTAACTTTTATACAATTTCTGCGAAAAATTGTTTTTTTGTATAAAAACTTTGAGCGACCTCTAAATATTCTTTGACTTCAAAATAAAACAACTTGCGAAATTTTTGTGTTCCTATGTAAATGACGGCATTAAAATTCCGACTTTACTTTTTCTTGGATCACCCTAACGTAGTATGTATGTGCATACATACCTAGAACTTTTAGGCGATAACAATGAGGCAAATTATAACGTTAACGGCAAGTAAAAGAAAGAGAGATGCTTAGTGAACTACTCAGGCAGTTTCGGCTCAAGGTTCCAATGAAGTTTGCAGCACCATGAGCAAGCTACTGGCTATATACATATATGAGGCCGTGAGAGCAGAAGAGGCCTAACCCATTTTTTTGTACTAAATAATTAAAAAAAAGCTTATTCCTTAATTTTAGGGTACAGGGCTACATAGCCTACCATCAGGTTAAGGAATATTTTTAAATATTCCACAATTGAGACTATTTTAAGTAGGTAGGTAACAAAAAACAAAAATAAACAAGTAAGAAAGCCTAAGTTCGGGCGGAGCCGAACATTAAATACCCGGCGCAATTATTAAATATATGTTTTTCACCTTTCCGAAAGCTACCGCTACATGGTAAGCCGGGGTGTATCAATTTTGAGTAAGTTAGCGTCCTTGAATTTCGAAATATTGAAATTTCAAGCATTTCTGAAATTTATTGTTATATGAAAAGCGGCCGTAATTTTAAGCCGATTTGAATAATTTTCAACGCTTTGCTTTTATGTCGCAAGCACAATAACCATACCGAGTTTGGTTCAAATTGCTAGAACGGTTAGCGAGATACATATATGTGATCATAAGTGGGCGGTGCCACGCCCATTTTCCAAAATTGTATCATAAGCGTATTTCTTGGTAAAAAATTGTTGCAACCATCAATTTTTAATAAATTAGCTTTAATATTTACTGATTTATCGAGGATTTCGTATTTTTCTAAATTACCGTTATATGGGATGTGGGCATGGTTATTGTCCGATTTTAAAAATTTTCAGCCATTTGGTATGTTGTAGTAGGACCAACAACTGTGCCAAGTTTGGAAGAAATTGGTGCAGCGGTTACCAAGATATACACATGTAACCATAAGTGGGCGTGGCTACGCCCATTTTCCAAAAATTTACAATATTCTTATTTTTCGTCTAAAACTCATTGGAAATATCAATTTAGAGTGAATTATCTTCAGTAGTTACTAAAATATCGCACTTTTCGTATTTCTGAAAATTACCGTTATATGGGAGGTAGGCGTGGTTATTGTCCGATTTCGCCCATTTTCAATACCATCCGTCCTATGCACAAAAGAAGTCCTCGTACGAAGTTTCGTTAAGATATCTCAATTTTTACTCGAGTTATCGTGTGCACAGACGGACAGACGGACGGACGGACGGACGGACAGACAGTCACCGCTTAATCGATTTCTCTTTTCATTCTGATCATTTATGTATACATTTGTCTATATCTATCTCGATTCGTTTTGCCTGTTACAAACAACCGTTATGTGAACAAAGTTATAATACCCTTG